CAAGTTATAAACAACAATAGCAAAAAATAAATCAATTGAAAAGAGAATGGTGTACAGGATGGAGTACATCATGAGAAGAATGGAAAAGAGCAAAGGTGCAATATTGATTTTAGAGACAACCATGGGTATGGAAAGCAGACAAAGGAAATCAAACATTAGCATAACTGGTATTTGGTGAGAACAGCAATACAAATGTAACAGAAATATATTCAAAGATAATGTAAGGGGAACTGACTTCCTTTAGCAATGACTTTTTGTCAGCAGGTCATAAAGGCACATCATGTGCCAAAAAATACAACCTCCTGAGACAGCCTGCATAAGGTGCTGGACTTCGTGGATAAAGAATTTATCCACAGGCCTCTGAGCAGGAAGGGCAAACACATCAACCACAAAAATTTCCTGCTGGTCCTCATTTGTTCTGCATTTGTCAATGCAAGACAATGGAGCAGGATCTAAGGGAAAGAAAGCATGACTCAGAAGTTTCTCTTTATCCAGGTTGCTCTTTATGTAGAAAGGTACCAGAAAGGCAGTCAGGGAACATGATGCTGATGAGCCCCTCTTGAAAACCCCATAGAGCCAAGAGGAGACACAAAGATGATTTAAAATAGAGAATACAGGAATGTTTTGACCCTGGTAAAAAGTGATGGAAGATGAATGATGAATTTATTTAATTGTAGAATTAAAACTAATCTATTAGCAGTTCAAAACAGAATGTAAACTGCAGAAATCTTGACATCATCTAAATGATATAATGTGAGCTAATTGGGAACTTGGAGAGGAGAGGTGCTTAATTCCTCATTATTCATAGTAGAAGGTCCCTAAGATACTTTCTGAAGTCAAAATATGTCATTAAAAGTAACTATCCAAAGTAGACATTATTATTGCTGTGGGTATATATGTGACTGCATGACCAATGTAATTCTGCAACCTGTACACTCAGAAAAATGAGAAATTATATCCCATCTGATTCAAATGTATGCTATATCAAGATCATTGTACTGTCAAGTGTAACGAATTAAAATAAATAAAAATTTTTTAAAAAAATAACTATCCAAATCTCTTGTTGGTTTTCTTAATCTTATTTCTTAACTTTAGACATTCTTTGAGGGAATTGATTATAGTAGAAAAAGATGTATATTCATCAAATCCTTTTATTTTAGTTTTTTCTTACTATACTTAATAAAATCACATTAAATTCAAATTAAAATTATATGATACACAGTGATTATCAAGTATTAATGTTATTTTATATATAGCATTTGGGTGATTCTTTAAAATATTAGTCAACTTTGCATCTACAACTAAATGCCTGAGGCAATGAATTTATGAAGATAAAAATTTATTTAGCTAGATTTTTGGAAGTTCAAAGGTATGACAACATGCATCAGCTCAGTTCTTGTGAGACTGGTAAATAACAATAGTGGAAGCAAGTGTCACAATTCTCAAGTCAGGAAGGAGAGTATGGGAATGTATGGGGTTCCCACAATCCCGGTCAAAGGCACATCCCCAGTGATCTAAGGACCTTCAACTGTCTCCAGTTCTTAAAGATACTATAGCACCTCCCAACAGCACCACATGGGGACCATGCCTTTATATATGAACCTTGGGGAGGCATTCAAATGACAGCCAAACCATAGTACTTTCCTTTTTAAACATTGTTAAAATTTATTAGTTCTATTTTAACATAAAAATTACAACTGTTAATGGAGTTCCATGTGATGTTCCCGTACATGTATGCATGGCTAATGTTTATGTCAGGTTCAACATATATTTCCTCTCAAATATTTATCTCTGTGTGTGTGTGTGTGTGTGTGTGTGTGTTTGTGTGCGTGCGTGATGTTGGGAATTGCACCCCAGGGTGCTCTACCACTGAACTACTTCCCCAGTCCTTTTTATTTTGAAACAAGGCCTCCCTAAATTGCTGAGTTATAAAAATTATAACTATTAATGGGGTTCCATGTGATGTTTCACTAAGTTGCTGAGGCTAAACTTGAACTGGTGATCCTCCTGCCTCAGCCTCTCAAGTCACTGGGATTACAGGCATGTGCCCCTGTGCCTGACCATTTATCATTGCGTTGTGGTGAAAACATTAAAATACTTTTTCTCTAGCTTTCTGAACTGTGAAATACTTTATTGTTATCTATACTCAGCTTACTTTGCAATAGCACACTAGAACTTCTTGTTCCTGACTGTTACTTCTTACGTGTTGATTAATCTTTCCCCATCCCTTCTACCCCACCCGCAACACTCCTCAGGCTGTGGTAATTGCCATTCTGTTCTCAACTTCTATGGGATCAACTTTTTTATCTTCCACATATGAAAGATCATTTGGTACTTGTCTTTCTCATTTCATTTAACAAAATGATATTCATTTCCATCAATGTCATCACAAATGACAGAATTTCATTCTTTTTTATGACTGAATAAAATTCCGTTGTAGATACAATATTCTCTTTATCCATTCATCAGCTGCTGGACACTTAAGTTGTTTCCTACTCTTGGCTACTGTGAATATTGCTGCAGTAAACGCTGGGAGTGTAGATGTCTCTTTGACATATGGATTTAATTTCCTTTGGATAAATACCCAGTAGTGAGATCGTTGGATCATGTAGTTCTTTTAATTTTTTGAGGAACCTCCATACTGTTTTCCACAATGGCTGTATTAATTTATGTTGCTACCAACAGTGTGGAAGGGTTCCTTTTCTCCACATTCTTGCTTGCACCTGTTCTCTTTTGTCTTTTTTTGATCATGGCTATTCTTACTTGAGTGAGGTGATTTGTGTGTGTGTGTGTGTGTGTGTGTGTGTGTGTGTGTGTGGTTTTGATTTACATTTCCCTGAAGACTTATTATGTTGAGCTTTTTTCCATCGATCATTTGTATGTCTTCTTTTGAGAAATACTGTTTAGGTTTATTGCCCCTTTTTAAATATTTTGAAGTCAAGTAGTATGATACCTCCTGCATTCTTCTTTTTGCTCAAGATTGCTTTGGCAATATACTATTAGCTGTTATCAAAAAGAAAAAAGAGGATTTTAGTGGAACCATACAAATTTTAGTAGTAGTTTTTTTTTCTTTTCTAGTTCTATGAAGAATGTTGTTGCTATTTTGATAGAAATAGCACTGAATCTGTAGCTCTCTTTTGGTAGTATGGACATTTTAACAATATTGATTAGTCTAATCCATGAATGTGGTATGTCTTTCCATTTTTGTGTCCACTGCAATTTATTTCATCAATGTTTTATAGTTTTCATTGTAGAGATCCTTTAGCTTTTTGATTAAATTTATTCCTAGATGCATTTTGATAGCATTACAAATGGGATTGCTTTCTTGATTTCTATTTCAGATAATTTGCTATTGGTATATAGCAATAATATTGATTTTTGGATGTGGATTTTGTACCCTACAACCATGTTCAATCATTTATTAGTTCTGATAATTTTTGGTGGAGTCTTTGGATTTTCTATATATAAAATTATGGCATCTGCAAACAGTGGCAATCTGACTTCTTTTCCAGTTCAGATACTCTTTATTTCTTTCTCTTGCTTGATTGCTCTGGCTAGGCCTTCCAGTACTGTGTTGAGTAAAAAGGTAAAAAGTGAGCATCCTTGTGTTGTTCCAGATCTTAGAGAAAAGGCTTTCAGCTTTTCCTCATTAAGTTTAATGTTATCTGTTGGCTTATTATATATGGCTTTATTGTATTGAGATATTTGTCCTCTGTAACTAATTTGTTTCATGTTTTTATCACGAAGGAATGGTGAATTTTATCAGTTGTCTTTCTCCATTTTTGAGATGATCACATGGTTTTGTTTTTCATTCTTTATTTTGTTCATTGATTCACATATGTTGAACCATCCTTATAACTCTGGGATGAATGATATTTTTTTTTTAAGAGAGAGAATTTTAAAAAAATATTTATTTTTCAGTTTTCGGTGGACACAACATCTTTATTTTATTTTATGTGGTGCTGAGGATCGAACCCAGCGCCCCGCGCATGCCAGGTGTGCGTATTACCACTTGAGCCACATCCCCAGCCCATGAATAATCTTTGATCATGGTGAATAACCTTTAGTGTGCTGTTGAATTTGGTTTGCTAGTATTTTGATGAGGATTTTTGCAAATATGTTTAAAAAAGATTTTTTTTTTTTGTTTTTTTTTTTTTTTTTTTTTTTTTTCGTCCTTGACTGGTTTTGGTATCATGATAATGCTGGCCTCATAGAATGTGTTTGGATAAATTACCCCACCTTCAAGTTTTGGGTTAATTTAAGAATAATTAGTATTAGTTCTTTTCTAAAAATGTTTGGCAGAACTTAGCTTTCTGGTAGTTGGCTTTTCTTTGACATTTCTACATTTCTATTTTTTATGTTCCTGTTTCTATCTTTAAAAAACATAATCCACTAAATTATGCTACATCCATGTCTGAATATACCACAATTAATCCTGATTTTATATATGTAATTATAATGCACAAATTAAAATATTACTCATAACAGAAGGAAGTAGAGTAAAAGCAGATCAGGGAGAGGGAGGAAAAGAGAGAGGGAAAGTACTGGGGGACAAGATTGATTGAATTATGTTATGTGCATATGTGGATATAGCATAATGAATCCAACTATTATGTATAATTATAATACACCAATAAAAATACATCAATTAAGATTATTTTACTATATAAACAAATAGCTAAAAATTAAATTAGATATCAATTACAATGCCAAAAAAATCTACAAAAATAAACTACTGTAAATTAATTACTTATCTCCAAAAAAAGGGAGTGAAGAAAGAAAAGGAGGGAGAGAGGGAAGGAAGGAAAAGGAGAGAAAGAAGAGGAAGGATGGGAAGAAGTTGAGAGGAGAGCCTCCATACCATAGAGATGTTCAGGCTTGGAAATGACTTGCTAATTGGTACACCCAAACTTCAAGCTCCCTCCCCATTCCCCATCAGGGCCCTTACTGTGGTTGGTGGGCTCACACTCCATGTGACTGTTGCTCAACTCTCCTTGCAGTGCTCTGTCACTTGTGGTGTTGGACTCCAGAGAAGAAAGCAGGTGTGTCAGAGGCTGACTGCCAGAGGCCGGCGTGTTCCCCTTAGCGAGACACTGTGCAGGGACCTACCAGGGCTTCCCCTTGTAAGATCCTGCCAGATGCCTGCGTGCCACAGTAAGTATGTAAAGGCCACACTTCACCAGACTTTGATTCTGCTCATTCTGTCCTGAGGCCTCTGTTTTCCACACATCAGCATATTTCTAATACATGGGTAAAGCAAATTAAGAAGAATTTAGACTTAATTTCAGCAACAAATGATAGAATGTGAAAGATCAAGATAAAATTCTAAAGAAAGGTGGTTTTAAGAAATGTGCATCCACTTAGCAAATGTATCTTTGAAGCTTCTCACTTATTTATATTCTCCATGTGAATTCTTCCACTTAGAATTCAGGAGTGTGACATAGAGAAGTTAGACTGATAAACTTCCTAGTTGACCTTGCTGGTAATAAATTTGTATCCAACCTATTAAAAGGAAAAGAGTTGGGCTAGAGTTGTGGCTCAGCGGTAGAGCGCGCTAGCCTAGCACATGCAAGGCCCTGGGTTCGATCCTCAGCACCACATAAAAATAAATAAATAAAGATATTGTGTTCAACTAAAAAATAAATATAAAAAAAGGAAAAGAGCTGAATATTTTTTAATATTACAGTATTTTTCTTCAGTGTAGTTTGAAAACAGCAAGAATGAAAACATGAAGTACTTTTTTTTTAATATGGCAGTTTGGCTACCCTTTTAATTCATTATAAGTAATAAGCTTACTATGAAGAATTAATATAAATGACCTCATTCTATTCAGAGCTCTATGTATTTTTAGTGTTCAGGAGAGGATGCATATTTATACCCATAGATGTATGTTTTCTGTAAGAGGGTCACAGCAGATGAATTCAGTTTCCACTACAGCAACTGAAATTAGTCAGCAGAGAGGTAATAGGGAATAGGGACATTGTGAATAACAGTTTCTGGATCCATTTCCTGCTTTGCTTTTTCATCTTTTTTTTTTCTTTAATTATTCCCTTGCAAAATAACATTCATTACCTCAGGTACCCTCCTGAACTTGCTTATGGTTAGAAAAAAAAAATATCTGAAGTGAACTATTCTTATTTTAATGCTGCTTGTGAGGGGGTTTGTGTGTGTGTGTGTGTGTGTGTGTGTGTGTGTGTGTGTCAACTTTTCTGGAAAAACAAAATAATAGAGACAAAAAATTAATTAAAATAATAACATTTATGAAGCACTTACCATGGGGAATTCCTTGAATGCATTATCTCATTTAGTTCCCCCAGCAATGTGTGAGACAAATGTACCCCATTTAGAGACAAGGAATCCAAGACTTAGGGAAAGTGTGAGATTTGCCCAAGGCCTGGTGCCTGGCAGTTGGATCCCTTGGCCTATTTGACCACAAGTCTGTCCGATTCCTAAGCCTACGCTCTTCTTCACTTCCTTTCTTTGCTGATTCATGGACAGCATTAACATTTTTCCTCCCTAGGAATCCTTTGAAAACAGATTTTCAAAATCTTAAGATTCCAAGTTTAAAGTCTCCTGGAATTCAGGAATGTCTGTGGCAAATGGCACCATGTCATGCTTTGTTTGAGTGATTTATCTAATTTTTTTTCTATCTGATTATTGTTGTGAATGGTTCTATAGCATTGTGATTAGATTCTAAACTATCTTAGAAGAGAGTGACATGAAAGTCATACTGGCAGTTTCCTCTAAAATAATAACAGAATAATATGGGAATACATTGTGGCTATGAGGCCTTGCAATGTGGTACAGAATGAAATTATAAATTATTATGGTGAACAATGGAGGGCAGAGAAAAATTACAAATTTTACAGAGAAAAAGAAAAAAGATAGTTATATTTTCTCTTTACTCCACCCTGTTCCCTAGCCTGCCAGACAGGGAGTGCAATTGAAGCGGACAAGAGGCAAGAATGCATGCTCCCTGCTACAGCCAGGTCACCCTGAGCTGGACCTGCACATCAGCTGCAGCCTGGCCTCAGTCCATCACCTTCCCTCCATGACCCTTGCTTTGATTGTTTCTCCCTCTGTGCTCCTGAAGAGCATCCTCTTCTCCCTACATTTGTAGCACAGGACCAAGTGACGAGCTTGGCATTCTCCTGACCTCCCTTCCCCTGCTGTCTCTGCACCATTTCTCCACTGTCCATGTGCACTTAGTACTTGGATTGCCCTTATAGACCTTCTAAGGCACCATTGTAGACCTGCAAGATACTCTACCTTGCTCCAAGACACACTACCAGGTACTGTCTTCTGCTTCAACATTTGCCAACATACAGAACAGCCAACACCCATGTACCCACGATGACCTTTTTAACACCTGCTATCCCCATTTCACATCCTCACCTCCTCTATGAACCCCATGATTGTCTTCATTTCCAATCAGACACTTGAAAGAATAATATAAATATAGTGTTTGATTTTGAAATTTTAAAATTATAACTCCTGGTGTCAGGGTCCTTGAGTTTTGGTGAAGAAGGATTCTTATTTTTCCCCAAAGTACTGAGATCAGGACCATTGAGGGAGGAGGGATATTCAAGATGCACTATGTGATTGACATATCAAGAATGTATGCCTAAGCCTCTTCCCAGGGTTATTCCAAACCCAGTTTCTTGTCTCCAGTCCTCTGTCTCCCTCTTTGTATCAGCTCACAGTCTGACTCTTGTGCTCTCCCAGCCTCATGCCCACACCCTGAACCTTACATTCCGAGAAGCCTAAAAAGAATCCAGAAAAACTGCCCAGGGTTTTTACACTGCTCCTCCTCCTGAACTTGTCAGTTCTGATGTTTCAGTAAGGTCAATCCCTGCCTGACATCCTGCAGCCCTTAAAAGCCAAGCCAGTTTCAGGATCCCCTCACTAGCACCCATTTTGTGTTTGTATCAGCTACTATAGAATCCAAATGCATATGCATTACTTTTTCTTTTACATATTTAATCCTTCACTTATTCATTCAACAAACAAGGCAGTGGGAGGAAACAATTTCATACAGTAGGAAACCTTGAGGGGACTTCTGAAAGATAAGTATCCATTCATCAGGCCTACATGGGGAGAGGTACAGGAGGATTTGGGAAAAGAGAGCAACATAGACAAAGGTAGAAGGTGTCAAAAGAAGTGGTAACTGTGTGAGAACTCAAGCAATCAAGCAATAGGACTAGAACTTAGGTGAGTGATAAGAAAAGAAACCTTGAGTTTCATGATGAATAGTTTAGATTCTAATGATCAGTTCATCTCCTCTGGCAGCTATGGAGACATTGAATAAATATGAAACTGTGGGCAGGGAGCCTAGTTCAGGGAATATGGCAATATCTAGGTAAGCATCATGAGAGCAGGAGCAAAGAGGATGAAATCTAACAATGGCTCTGATGTGTAATCCAAGTTCTTGATGCCTGACTAGAGTTAGGAGCTGAAGGACAGGGACCGTGGTGTGTTTGTAAATGTTCAAAACCAGCTCTCCGATGGGATCATGATAGGGGAGAAGTAGCTATTATTGGTTTGTCAGGTTCAGTTTCCATTGTATAAATACTGCCTCTATTGCCAGTTGCCATCCACCAGTGTGACATTATTGAATACAGAGTTGGGAATAGATGCTAGCAATCTCACTGATTTGTGAGTGAATTTAGATGGTTCCCAGTTTCTGGCTTTAGAAAATTGACAGAATCAGATGCCATTAACTTAGGGAATATAGAAAGTAGAGGATCATTGGGATGGGGGGACAGATAATATTTAGATTATAATATTGAATTCATTTTTTATATTTTTATCTTTGTGGTGCTGGGGATCCAGCCCAGGACTTCACCACACTAGGCAAGTGTGCTGAGCTATATCCCCAGCCCAGATTATAATACGTGAAGAAACTTTTATCAGGAGGAGATTTCTAGTAGACAGTGGATAAACAGGTCTGAAGCTCCAGAGAGTGGTCTAGGAGAGACAGATCAACTTGGGAAACATTAACCTAAAGGAATTATTTAAGATCATCCAAGGAAGACTATAGGGCAAGAAGAGAAAGTGGCCAAGCACTTGCACCCAAGGGGTAGAAACATCTAGTAGGATACTGGCCATAACAGGATCAAAGGGAACCATAAAGAAAGGTTTAAAATGTTGGGAAGGAGAGACTTCTTCAGGAAGGAAGTGATCGTGGTGCCATATACTCTAGAACGGACAAATAAGAACACAGAGGGAGAGCGTTGGATTTATCACTGAGAGGCCATGTGTGGTCTTTCCCAGAGAGTTTTAATGCAGTTCTGGGAGAAGAAGCCAGACGGCATTTAGTTGAAAAGGGCAATAGAAACAAGTAAGTGAAAGCCATTTTTTCAGGATGGTCTGGGATTTACTATAGCCATGGGGCCTGGGGCCTTCATAACTCTTTTAGCAAGTCCAGCCCACCGTATCCCTTGCAGCCTCCACTCAGCTACCTGTTTTCCTACATTCCGAGAAGCCTAAAAAGAATCCAGAAAAACTGCCCAGGGTTTTTACACAGCTTCAAATGAGCTTGATGGATCTTCACTCCCAGAGGAAGGAAAGGGAATCCGCACCAGCCCAGCAGCCAGATTGAGGGCTGGATTCTGAGTAGGTGGAGTTCCAGCAGGGATAGGAAGGCTTACTTAGAGGCTGGGTCACAGCCAAAGCCCATTAGGGAGTGGCAGGAGTCAAATGCTGGCGAGACCAAGTGTAAATATCCATCCCAGATGGCTTGGGGCAGAAGCCTGGCTTGACACCAAGCCTCAGATTCATGGCAAAGATACCATGGGAGTGAAGGCAGGACAGACAAGCGAGGAGCCACAGGCAACTCCTGTGAAGAGCCCCAGGAACCTAGAGCTGGCCTGTGTGGCATAGTGGCACAAAGACTCAAAAGGGGGACACAGAGAAGAAAACGCTTCTCATTTTCTAAGAAATCTGCTTTCCATATTGGCTTCACCAATTTGCAGTCCCATCAGCAGTGGATGAGTGTACCTTTAGAAGAGACCAAAAATGTGGCATTTCTCAAATCCAGCACAGTTGAGAGATGAGTTAGTCCCTTTGCACAGGCCAGAACCCCCTCCAGAAGGATGCTGAGGTACCTCCTTGCTCTCTGCAGAGTGGACGATGCCCTTGCCTAATGAGCCTTAGCCAATGTCACTGCATTGGGGCATTTCCATATATGGGAGGACGCAGTCTCCCAGAACTGGGCCAGTTTTTTGTCTAAGAACTGAGCCCAGTGTCACCACACTCCAGGCATTGCTCTGGAGGAACTTAACATAATCCTAGTGACTCTGGAGGCTGAGGCAGGAGGATCACAAATTCAATGACAACCTCAGCGATTTAGCAAGACAATGTCTTAAAATAAAAAATATAAAGGGCTGGGGTATCTCAATAGTAGAACAGTCCTGAGTTCAATTCCCTGTGGGGTGTGCGTGTATGTGTTTATAATTATCAGTGTAAAATGCATTAATACACTGACCTGCCAAACATCATAATTTGGTAACACAGTACACAGTGGAGTCTGGGTTGTTTACCCTTGAGGGCACATGGCTAATTGGGAGCTGTGACTTGCTGCTTGCTGCCCAGCATCATTAGAGAGTATTATACCTTATATTGCTAGCCTGGGAGAAGATAAAAATTCAAAATATGGTTTCTTCTGAATGCAGATAGCTTTTGTACCATAAGAAAGTCAAAGGAGCATTAAGTGGAACCATCCTGATTAGGGGACCATCTGTGATGACTCAAAGTATGATTACTGAAACAGAGACCAGAAAGCACCCTTCCCTCTATCTTCTTGTAGAAGATGTTGCATGTTGCACAGGAATCTCGTAGATAACATGGATGCTGTTTCTTATTTTCCCTTTCCTCTTTACCAGCAGCATCCCATAAAATTGTCTTTCAGTAAAATAAACTGGGACAAGAATACCTCTCTCTACTATTTTGGTTTAATCATGGTACACTCTAGGGCAATGGTCCTCAAACTTTGCTGCACATTCAGTCCCCTGGGGAGCTTTTAAAAACTTTAATACCCATACTGTACACTAAATTAGAACTTTTGTGGATGGAACTTAGGTCATTGAGATTAATAAATAGCTGTTTTGATTGAGCATTTTCTGTGAAGATTAAGTATTTTGAAAACCATTGTTTCTATAGTAATGAGTGGACTATGAATTTAACCAGAGAATGTGTTAGTTTTCTTTCACTATGACAAGGTATCTGAGAGAAATTAATTAACAGGAGGAAAACATTTATTTTGGCTCGTGGTTTCAGAGGTTTTAGTCTTTGGTCAGAAGGCTCCATAGTTTTTGGTGGTGGAAAGGTGAGTTGGAATAAAATTGTTCACCTCATGATGATGAGAAGTAAAGAAGGAGAGAAGGAGACCAAATACAAAATATACTCTTCAAAGGCCTACCTGCCTCCCAGGACCTACTTCCTCTAACTATGCCCCACCTCCTAAAGTTTGCTCCACCTCCAGCACCACAGGCTGGCAACCAAGCCTTTTAAGCATGTGGCTTTTAAGGGACATTTTATGTCTAAAACATAATACTTCTATAACGTCTTCTTTCTGCCTTTGGTCATGATTCAAAGTAAGTTCAAAATTTTATGTTGCCCATTAAAAGAAAATCTATATGCTTTAAGTGGCTAGGGCCATGTTGACATTCTCTGTGGATACTCTGTAATCCCAAAGAGGAAACTGTCCAAGTGGCAGGTCATCTGATACCACTTAGAAATGAGCTGAGGGAATATCCTGGGTTAGAACCCTTGGACCCATTCTGAGATCCATAGGCCTGAACTACCAGTTGCACATCAATGAAATTTGTATACAAATTAATCGTGTGTCCTTCACTGAAAACCTCTATTTCAGAAATTATGAGTCTCTGTTGCTTTTCTGAACCTAATAACACCACTAAACCCCAGAAGGTTGCCACACTGCAAAAGGCTTATGAACCAGCAAGAGGACTGTAGAAATTATTCTTGTAAACAGTACATACCTTGTAACTACTGCCAAGGCCTGAGAAAACCAACTAAGAGGAATATTGATCTGGTTTTTCTCACAGCATGTCAATGCTGCTATTAATTCTCAGAGGGCCAAAGTAATGAGGTCCCAACTTCATGACCTCCTGAATCGAGCAATACTTGATGCAAGTCCAGTCCTTCTCCTACCACTCACTAGTATCTCCAAGCCCTCCAGCTCATAACCCACATCTGCCCAGAGACCAAAATGTATCATCAAGCAGGAACCAGACTTGTTCCCACATCATGGTCCCCTCTCTCTCCTCCAAATCACACAAATCACAGTATATTTCCTCTCAGGTGAAGCAGGGAGAGAGGCACTTCCCTGGGGACAGGATCTGAGGTGTGTGGTCCTTGGCCCCAGCCTGTTCACTAGAATCCATGCCAGAAAAAAGCCAGCCCATCTCTGACTCCCCCTCAGTCTGCTCTGTACCTTCTTGCCAAACCTGCCTTTGTTACCTAGCCAGTGGGCACAGTAATCATATAGAAGAGCCCATTAAGTGCCTACTACTATGCTGTGCTCTTGACACAAACAGTCTGACTTCATTTCCACACTCCTCTAATGAAAGTACTAATTAAATTATCCAGTTTATAGATAAGAAAACTAAGGCTAAGACAAATGAAATGACTTATTCATGTGGCAGAGCTAAGGTTCAAACTCCAGATTTGTCTGGCTTCAAAATACCTGCTTTATCTTTTCTTTTTTGATCGTGGCTCCCCATTGCTTCTCAGACCCCGCCATGCTTGTTTAACTGGCACATTTGGGCTAGTTTCTGCAATTGTCTAACCTCATTCTCCTTTTTGAACCCTTCAAATGAATTTATTCAAATTTCCATTCTCTTCTTTCTTCAGATTTGGTGTAGCCATGACTCCAAGCCAGACTAGCTCCTCAAAGGTAACCCTGCCAAATGGTAGAGGCCCAACGTATCAGATCACCCTCTTACTGATGAAACCTATACCCAAAAACTGGTGAAACAGGGAGAGAGGCACTTTATGAATTACATATTATGAAGCCATCATATGATCATGCATTAGAATGAATATTTCTTTAATGTAGAATAACCATTCCTTAAATTTCATTGAAGCATTTAACCCCTTACTTCCCCAAAACAGGGCTTTGTAAAGTAAATCACATGTTTTCATGCACTCATTCAAACTTGCATTCTTTGCTGAAGTACTAGATAGTTGTAAAATTTATTTGTGTATACATGTATCATGTTATTCATGTTTTAACTCAAATATTTTAAAAGAGTAACGTAGGTTTGGGAGATGACTGTCAAAAAGTTGTTAGTATTTTTGAATTTTTTAAAATTTTCTTTCTTTTTTCCTGCAGAAGTAAAACCAAAGACAAAAATAAAACTTGGTGAGCAGAGTCCTCAGATTCTCAGTGTCCAGAGAGTCTATATTCAGACAAGGGAGGAGAAACGTATTAATCTGACCATTGGCAACAGAGCCTATTTGCTGCCCAACACATCTGTGATTATTAAATGCCCAGTACGACGATTCCAGAAGTCTCTGATCCGGTGGGAGAAGGATGGCCGTTGTCTGCAGAACTCCAAACGACTTGGCATCACCAAGTCAGGCTCACTGAAGATCCACAGTCTCGAAGCCCCTGACATTGGTGTGTACCGATGCGTTGCAGGCTCAGCCCAGGAAACAGTTGTGCTCAAGCTCATTGGAACAGACAACCGGCTCATTGCACACCCTGCCCTCAGAGAGCAAATGAGGGAATATCCTGGGATGGATGGCAACAAAGCTGATAGTTTGGGAACTGCGTGGCATAAAATGAGACAAATGTGGAGTAACAAAAATGAGCTTTACCTACATGATGACCAAATTAATAACCAGCCTTTCTTAAGAGCTTTGTTAGGCCACTGCAGCAATTCTGCAGGCAACACCAATTCCTGGGAGTTTAAGAATAAGCAGTTTGAAGCAGCAGTTAAACAGGGAGCATATAGCATGGATACAGTCCAATTTGATGAACTGATAAGAAACATGAGTCTGCTTCTGGAAACCAGAGAGGTCAGCGATGACCTTGCCTCTCAGGTGATTTACCAGCTGGTGGCTGAGTTAGCCAAGTCCCAGTCAGCACACATTCAATGGAAGGGCATCCAGGAAGAGGTGCCTCCTGCTGCTCAGCTCAGGGGCACAACAGAAAGTCTGCCCCAGAGTTCAAAAGTGAAAAACTCAGGCAGGCTGACCTTTAAACCAAAAGGACCTATTCTCATGAGGCAAAGCCAACACCCTTCAGTTTCATTTAACAAAACAATAAATGCAAGGATTGGAAATACTGTGTATATCACTAAAAGGACAGAGGTCATCAATATACTCTGCGACCTTCTTACCCCCAGTGAGGTCACATATACATGGACCAAAGATGGAGCACTGTTACAACCATCAGTAAAGTAAGTAAAATAAGAATACAGCATTCATTTTGTAGTCCTTTTTTAATGGCCATTCTAGATTTCTTGAAAACATTTCAAATTCTTTCTCCTAAGAATATGTTTTTAACTAAAACAAAACTAAAGAATGTTAGGATGTTCTTTACACATATGCATTGGAAAATTTTAAAATTAAACTATCGTGTTTTCTCAATTACTATAATATTGATATAAGACTGAATACAGTAAGAATGAGTTTAAAGCACATATAGACTGTGCCTTTGTATAGCACAAAAATAAAATCACTATAAGCCCTCTAAAAAACAAGCATAGAAGTAGTAATCTGTTAAGTTGCAAGTGCAAATCAGAATTCACAGAGCTCTTCCATATCTAGGAGATATGGTATTTCATTTGAGCTCACGCTAGGTTGGCAGGGCAGGGTTGAACAATTTTCTGATGAGGTCATAGAGAAACAGAATCCCATGACCACTTCAAAGCCAGTCTGAACCAGGGACCATGTCTCATAAACATCACCCATGATGTCTGACTATCAAACAGTAACCTTAGCAGAAAAATTGGATATCCAAAATAATTTTCTGTTTTCATGCATTGTCTTAGGCCATACAATAGAAAAATAAAATGATAAGAATCAAAGTTTTCTGAGATGCTTAAAGTACAATATTCAGTCATTTTATTTTGATCTCTATGTTAAGGCAAAAATACCCCATTTCATTTATTTTACATAAAATAAGGGATAACCAATATTAACTCATTTTTGCATTCTTCTAATTTTGCTGTTTTACATAAAGACACTGTGCTTTCTTTCAATTTGCATTTAAGAGTGCAACTTGCACCTTATCTGTCTCTAGGGATTGTAAGAGAAACAAACAAAACAGCAGGTGTGAAATTGGTTTGCACACCATAAAGTACTTTCAAAAAGAAAGTTTAATTTTCATCTTGTCCTTTGTGCCTTGATCCTAATACACAAAACATCAGAAACCCAGGTAAAATTCAGTTTTTTAAAAATAATAAATCATTAGGCTAAGGCTTAAACAAAAATATAGGAAAAAGTCTAAATTTTGTATTTGTATCTTAGGACTCTTAACACAATTTTGCAATGAGATTGTAAAAGTGGAATAAACCTTAAAGTTTAGTCATTCTTAAATCTTTTAGTCTGAGGGTCTCTCTAAATTTAAAAATGATTGAGGAACCCAAAGAGTTTTTGTAATTTGAGTTATATTTATTGCTGTTTAGCTTGTTAGATATATAAACCAAGAAACATTTTGAACATCTCTATTGATTCATTTATAAAAAAAAATAAGCTTTGTGAATGCCTATTACATGTTTATATAAATATTTTTTAAAAAGCAATACCTACCATCCCAAATTACTGATACCAGTGGAATTGCTTTATATCTTTGCAAATTTTTTTAGTGTCTGGCTTAATGAAAGATATTCTTAGCTGGACACAATGGCACATACTAATGGCTGACACAGGAGGATCACAGGTTCCAGGCCAGCCTCAGCAACTTAGCAAGACACTGTCTCAAAATCAAAAAATAAATAAATAAATAAAAAGGGACTTGGGATGTAGCTTAATGCTAGAGAGCTTCCCTAGCATGTGCAAGGCCCCAGGTTCAATCCCTGCCTGGTGTAACACACACACACACACATACACACACACACACACACTTCTTATATATGCATACAGAGATTCTTATATATGCTTTTGCACCTGTTTGGGTATATTGTTCTAGTTGAAACTTATGGTGAATAAACTGCCTCATACAGATATGTTAAAAAAAGGGAATATCTTAATGCTATTTTCAGGTAATTGTGGATATTCTCCTTTAAAACTACACCAAACGTGGACAAATGGTAGTTTCTCAAAGGTTATTTGGAATGTGAAATAGAAATCGTATTTGTGAAATGTTGGTACTCTGTTCACTGAAATCTACTGATTTTTTTAATATTTATTTTTTAGTTGTACACAATACCTTTATTTTGTGTATTTATTTTTATGTGGTGCTGAGGATTGAACCCAGGGCCTCGCACCTGCTAAGTGAGCGCTCTACTGCTGAGCCACAACCCCAGCCCAAATCTACTGATTTTTACCTTGCACTTTGAATAGATTTTTTTCACCCAAGCAAGAGTTTATAAAATCATATCATTTGTAAAATATTGGCTCACTGAGTTATACCAATATCTTCTAAAACATCGACACATTTCTTTATACGATATAAAAATTCACAGATACTTTAATATCACCATCAGGAAAATCTCTGTTTTGGAAATGTGCCAACCTCTCAATGATAGATGCTAGCTTTCCAAAATTCTAATTTTTGCTTGAAAGCTCCAATTTTTATCATTGGCAACAAATACAGTCAGTTGTTTTCCTTGAGTTGACCAGCTCACTTTGTTCATTTGAAAATATATATGTATCTGCCAAATACCCAAGTTCAAAACACAGTGTGGACTTTTTTTGTCATAGCTTGTCTGCCAGGTATTCTTTCAAACAAACATCATAGTCCATGAAAACAACAGCTAACAGTTCAATCACACCAGCATGTTTTAGCACACAGTGGAAGTGTTTTGTATATGCTTCCTATTTTGTTATACAGAACATTACAAACCGTTGTACTGGGTTGAAGTTTAGTTAAATTAACAAGTTTTAGTACTTCATTTGGAACATCTTGAAGTGATACTGGCAGTTTTGTTTGTATTGCATTGTGTGGCAGTCCAGACCACAGTGACTACGTGGATGACACTGCCTGCTTCATGCCAGGAGTCTGAACATCACTGTCTTTGAATAATCAGTGCAAAGGTCAATACAACAATGGAAAAGGCAAATAATGTTTCAGTATTATGGGGAACATCCTTTCCTCTCACTGACCCATAGAGTTATGGACCACCCTCTGTAGACTACTATATGGCTCACAGTTCAATTGTGTGCATTGTAAGAAAATAGCCTGAGAAAGCTGATGAGTTGACCTATGGCCACACAAGTACTACAGTGATATAGAGGAACATGGGCATTTAGAATAAATATTTGTCAAATTGAGTTGATTGCTAATAGTTGACTTGATGAAGCCAGGCATGGTGGCACACGCCTGTAATCACAGGGAGGAGGAGGCTGAAGAAAGGGAATCACAAGTTCAAAGCCAGTCTCGGTAACATAGTGAGGCCCTAAGCAACTTAGTGAGACCCTGTCTCTAAATAAAATTTTTAAAAAGGGCCGGGTATATTGCTCAATGGTTATGTGCCCCTGGGTTCAATCACTGGTACCAAAAAAAAAAAAAAGTTAACTTGATGAAATGGAATTAAGTTTTCTGAGGCTGAGATTTGTAGAACTCATGTAAATAAAAGGTTTTGACATGGTACATCCCACTCAGATGTGTATCTGCGTGCTTAAAGATCAACCATTCAAAACTGAAGCAACTCCATATGTCTAATAAAAATTTTTTATTTTTGTTTTTTTTAAGACAGTAAGATCCATTTTTCTTTTTAGTTTTTTCTCTGAAACCTATGCAATTTATTTGCTCATTTTACTTTTAATTTCCTGTACATAACAAAGGTGCTCAAGTATATTTTTCTGAGCCTCACAAATCTTTTCAACAGAAGTAATTCAGAAATAGAATTATGTTTCTAAGAACCTCTGTCCTGTCAAAAGAAACCATATAGGTGTGGAATATTGTTTGGACAATATTGAGTAAAAAATCTCAGCGAGGAAGGGAAGGCTATGGGTGAGTCAACTAGAGATGGTGTCTATAGAAAGTTCAGCCTTGTCATTACCTCAAGTTGACAGTAAGACTGTGCAGCAGAGGCCATGGTCGGATCTGTTAGGAGCTCTGCCTTCTGGTTCTCCAGCTCAAGGACTGCTCTGGCTTAGGTACCTGGGTGGCATCCCTTGGAAAGTAAGGCTCACAAGTGCTCAGCAATCTCAATCTCATTGACTTCTTGAGGCCTACCAAACAAATTGAGAATTGATAAATCATACAAACATGTTTGAAAAAATTAAGAAAATAAATTAGTATATTTTTCATGTCTGTATAGTTAGGAGTCATACTTTTGTTTTCAACTGCTCCTCCTCAGTGGCAATTTAATAGTGAATATCTAGCCCTGCAGACAGATAGGTCTGCCACAGTGCCATTGCTGTGGACCATTTCATCTGTCTTGACTTCTGTCCCTTTTGTGTATTTTACACGTGTGCTGCAGGGGAGCCTCATATCCTCCTTGTACCTTTCCTCTGTGCCATTACCGTGTTCTGTTCTGGTCATTCATGTATTTATTCATCAAAGGTTTTTTTGAGAACTGGTGTATAAAACTCACTGTGCTAAGCAGTGGGAATTCACAGCTGTGAATAAGATTTGGCCCCTGCCCTTGAAAAGATCACACTCTAGTGGAAAGAAATAGATATTTCAACAAATAAATACTTGAACCAGAGAATAAGGAGCCCATAGGGGATAGAAGATAAATGGAAGAGTATTGGGGAAAACTTTACAGGGGAAATTACATGTGATCCAGTACCCAATGGTAGGACAAAGTTTTGCAGGAAGAAACGCCATTTCAGATAAAGAGAACAACATATGCATAAGCTCAGGGAGATGTAAGATCATGGAATGTTCTGGAAACAAGTTTGTTATGGCTGGAGCATAGGATGAGTGACAGGAAGTGACAGGAAGTAAAGAAGTGGCTCAGCTCAATTAATGAAGAAATGCTATGTTTAGAAGTCAGACTGGTCCCTGTTGCTAAGATCTATAAAGTGGGATGGGAAAATAAATAATACAAGGGCCAATGGTCCAGGTTAGAAGTAGATTCATATCATTAGGAATAATAAAATTTAAAGTTTCTCTCACTTCTCTGAATAATAACCTAATTAGTAAACACCTGATTGTCAAAGTGGTATTTTCATGTAGGCTTTTAGGAATATCAATAATTGGAAAACTATAAGGGACTCATGCAGCTTATTCCTGATTCTTTTTGTATGTGTGTGTGTGGGGGGGGTAGTACAGGGATTGACCCTAGGGGCTCTCAACCACTGAGCCACATCCCCAGACCTTTTTAATTTTTCTTTTGAGACAGGATCTCACTAAGTTCCTCAGGACCTCACTAAATTACTGAGACTGAGTTTGAATTTGTAATCCTCTTCCCTCAGCTTCCCAAGCCACTGAGATTACCGGCATACACCACTATGCCCCACTATCCCTAATTCTTAATGGCACAGTCAAAATTCCATACAAACTGCAGCCTTAGCTTGTTACCTCAACTGACCTTTTCACATAGTGATGGTGAGACAGTGATCTATCACAGAGTAGCTTATACCAAAGCCCGCTGGATCTCACTGTGAAAACTCATACCTGAAGCTTCTTAGGAAGGATTTGGGCTGGAAATGAAGGTTTAATACCCAGCAAACTAATAGGTTTGTTTTTAAATGGGGTAGATTAAGACAAAATTCCATCCAGAAGAGTCTGTTCTCATGTAAAGGAAGATGGGATGCTGGCTATCCAAGCAATGTCCAGTTCTAAGGATGTAGTGAACCTAAGGCAAGAGAAGAGACTCTCCTGCCCTGCTGATCTGCATGCCTATAGGTAGGATGCTTGACAAGATCATCTTTGGGGATCCCTGTTAGGCCAAGGCCTATAAATTTGTTTTTCTTCTTTCTCGGCAACTTTTGATGGCCCCAGGGCAGTTAAATGTGTTACTTGAATGCACCCTCTTTATTACTCTTCTACAGGATAATTTTGGATGGAACTGGGAGAATACAGATAAAGAATCCTACAAGGAAAGAACAAGGAATTTATGAATGTTCTGTAGCTAATCATCTTGGTTCTGATGTGGAAAGTTCTTCTGTGCTGTATGCAGGTAATCCCCTTGGTTGAAACCTAGAATGTTTCTGTTTTGTTTTTAACATTAATCTCCACAGCGTCAGTTCTCAACCTTGAACTCCATCAGTTACCTAAAGGCTTGTTAAAACAGATTGCTGGCCCCTACCCTTGCGATTCTGCCTTGGTAGAATGTGGATGAGTCTGAGAATTGGTGTTTTAGTATGTTCCTAGGTTATGTGGCTGTTGATGGATAAAGACCCATTCTCTGGAAGTGGCTATTCTAGAGCTCACTCTTGAAGAAAAGGAGATTAGTGAGGCAGATTTAGTAGGAGGTATTGATATTATGGACTTTTCTTTCCTTTAAAGTCCCAAAATATTTTTTAAAAAAGTTTTTAAGGTTTTAAAAAAGTTCTTTAAAGTTTAGAGGTTTTTTCCTTTTCCTTTAAAGGAAAGAGAATAATTATTCTTTTGCATATCCCTCCTGATAGCATGCCTGCCAATCCTTAGAAATATCTCCTGGAGGTTGCAACTTTACATTAATGTGTGTCTTCACAGGAGCTGGACAATGTCATTTTGATATTAAAATGTGCTTTTATTATAAAGGAACATTTTAGGTGGCAGTGCTTCTTGTGGGAGGCTTATGTTTTGTAAAAATAAAACAAGAGCTATTCCCGACCTCCCAACTCTGGAGTTTCTGATGTCTATGGCTCAAATAGACTTAGATGAAAAAAGGAACAATATCAGGGTTTAGAGTCTTGCATTTGGTCAACTAAGAGTTGAGCTGTGTGGTAGGTGCTTCACATTTTTTAATTGAGGAGACTGGGCCAGTTGATTTTAAAAGGCCCTTGAATCTGCATGGCTTAAAGATTCTGAGCCCCTTCTCTGGCTGTCTTCTCAAGGTAGAACTTTAGCCTTTTGTTTTCTCCTGGATTATTCTGCCCTGTGAACATTAGCTCCTTTCCAGGAAGAGTCAGTTCCAAGTTTTTGGAATTCTTGGGGAATAGAACTTACCCTACACACACATATGCACATGTACACTTCAGTTTCCCCTTAAGCCTATCCCAGAATAATCTAAATTTCTAGTAGTCCTCAGGAGCCAGAGGATGAGCTGTGACAACCAAAGCCCTCTGTCAGCCAAAAGTTTTCTGTCTTTACACTTCTTAAGGTAGCTTTCCACTGGGCCACACTCTCTAGGAGAGTACAATGCTCGGTCCCCCAAACGTGACCTTTCCTTGATTCTCTTCTCCAGAATACCATGGTTACCAAGATAGCTTGCTGAAGTGTCATTATTCTCTCATAAATTAACTATGCATAGACCATAAAAAAGGTTAAAGAAGTATAGTCTCCCCACTGCCCAGGAGCTTATATATTAATGTCAGATTAGGGAAACCAATCACTGCAATAGTGCTGTGGTAGAGGAATGTTGTCAGTGTCCTTCCTGGGATGTTGCCTTCCCTGACACCTACATACTGCTGTGTAACCCCTGGGCAAACATCCTCTTTCTCTATATCAACATCCATAACCCTGAGCAGTAATGGTGTCACCAGTTCTTGAGCTCCTCATGGGCAAGAATGTGTGTTTTCCAACTCTGTATTCCTGTTGTTCATGTCAGGCAGAAAGTATGTTTCCTGAATGAGTTAATGAATTAATCTGTTAGCTAAGTATCAAAATTCAAAGAAGTGAAAGTCTTTGGATTCTTTACTCTTTGGGGGTTTGTTTTTATTTTTTTCCTGTAAGTTTTATGTAGGTATTTGTTTCACATTAACCAAAATGCTAAATTTGAACTTTCCTTGCAGACTATTCTAATCCACTTGTAATAACCTCAGAGAGTTTCATAAACTGGGTACATCTGATGTCTTCTCCCTTGAGATTTTCTGCATATAGAGACATGTGAATAATATTTTAAGTGCGCCTCTTTGCAGTTAATAGTCTTTAAATAATAATAGCATTTTATTTTAAATTGAGATGAGTTTATTTAAGTCAGGTAAGAAGGGGCCTCTATGAACCATAATTTGAGTGAGAGAAGTGTAGCTGGAAGACACCTAAGAAATCTCTAACTGAAGTCCTTTCACTGGGATTCAAACTAAAGTCCAGAGAGGAAAAATTTTGCATGAGCACATGAACATATTATTATAAGAGGCTCAACGAGAATTGTGGTCTTCCTACATGATTTTCTCTGATTCGTCTTTGAATGATATCTAGAACCCTAGTTTTATTCTGGAGAGAACACATCAGCCTGAGTCTGGCACCATATACAGAAAAACTTTGTAAGAGATATTGTAGATACCATGTTAATATTGAAAATACCTGCTTGCACCCCCTGCACTGGTAGGTAGTTTTTGTGATTATCAAGAGAGGAGAAGTACCTCTGATCTTGTTACCCCAGAATGGACCACAGAATGGGCATTTGGAAAATATTTTAACTGAATAGAACCTTGTCTTATTCTTAACTCAAGATGAGAGGGCTCCTAGAGGTTTCTCCATCCAGGATAACTCCTACCAAGGGGCAGAAGAATGGATCAGGATATTTGGTCCTGCTCCTTCAGCCCATGCCTTCCCCCTTCCAGAAAATGTCAGGTGATCACAAGCCCTGGCGTGTTTTGTCCCTGCTTCAACTCATCCCAGGCCACATGGCAGAGACATTATTCCTGCCCTTTCATGTCTTCCTTGCTTCTTCTGAACTTCTGAATTCCTTCTTCAAATTATCAAAGAGGAATTATTCTTCATTCTGATTATAAAAGCAAAATATCATTATAGTCTACATATAATTGTTGCAGTGCACCTTTGAAAGCATCCAGCCAACTGTCCATCCATCCATCTGTTCATCTGTCCACTGAGCATCTCTAGCTATGTACGTGCCAGTCCCCATGGTGTACCATGGGGGATAGAGAGGACCAGCATTCTACCCTGCTCTCAAAGAGCTCAACAAAGTTTACAAAAGGCAGAATGGTTTATCAACAGCTAAAGCCTGAACCTAACATAGTTTCCTGCTCCCTTTGAATTAAGAGGCACCTGTCATCTTGTCTGTTGAAAGAAATATCACCAAACCAGAGCACAACCATCTGTCCATTGTGGTGGGAGGCATCGTGGAGGCAGCCCTTCAAGCAAATGTGACAATCCGATGTCCTGTAAAAGGTAAGCATGGTTGTTTTCAGTGGGAGGGTGCATGACTAGCCAATTGCCAGGGACAGCAGCTGGTATTTTAATATTCTAGACTTCAATCTGATAGGCTTAAAAATCTGATTTTCAGCACACTGACAGTTGATCTGACTCTGAAGAGAGAGCTTATCCAAGCTTAGAAGACAAATGTATAAAACAGAATGCCACTTTACTTGTCTCTAGCATGAACTGTTACTGCCATGCATACCAGAATGTTCATATTGGCAAGACCAGAACATTCTGTCCCTGTGGGCAGATCTATAGGAAAGGGTGGTGTTTAGTCATATGGTTACTTAATAAAAATGAAGATTGAAAGGGGATTTTTTGAAAATTGTTAGATGTGTATTCTAACTAGACAAAGTCTAGACTCAGCAAAGTCAGGTTTGGGAACAGGAATATCAATGTCCTCTGCTTAGGCTCTGTCCTGGACTGTCCTTGGATGGTCACCATCAGCCTGTATCTTAATGGCTCTTTCTGCTTTGTTTATAACTGTGGATAACCCTCCTTTCTAACAGACACACTCTTCAGTAGAAATAACACTATCTACCTTAACCTAGGGCTGTGCTGTCTCTTTAAGCCACTCTCTTAAGTGTTAACCTGAGCCCATCCATCCCCAAGCTGTAGATGAATATTACATCTGCATGAGTGAGGAGGTTGCATGAACAACTTTTTAATCAGTTCCTTACAGAGAATTATGAACTCAAATTTGAGATCTTTTTCTTTCATTTAATTTTTTTCTTTTTGGTACTAGGGATTGAACCCAGGGGTACTTAACTACTGAACCACATCCCCAGCCACTTTTATTTTTTATTTTGAGGCAAGGTCTTGCCAAATTGCTTAAGGCCTCACTAAATTTCTGTAGCTGGCTTTAAACTTGCAGTCCTCCTGCTTCAGCAGGATTATGGGATTACAAACGTGCGCCACAATGCCCAGCCAGATCTGCTCTTTTAAGGTAACTTTGTATATGCCCTTAATTTACTGCATTTTGACTTAACTCTGTGGACAGCTGTGGTTCCCTAATATCCAAGCTTTAAGGAGAAACCTGTAGTTGCAGCCACTGAAGATGAATTTTGCCTGGGCCATAACCCAGATAGTCCAGGGTGGCTGTAGGAGCCTTTACCACTGTTCTCAGTGACACAGTGAAAGCACATGTCACTTATCCAGCTTTCAGCTCTCCTCCCCTGGAGTGATCAGTTACTTGCCATGTTTCTAGAGCTGCAACTTTGGCTCCACAAACAGTGGAAATTTGCTAACCCCCAAGGTATTATTTTTCACCCTCTGGAAGTCCCTGCAGTGTTTGGCCAATGCAGTCTTTTGAAAAATCTCTCCAGTCTCCCAACTGACTCCACCCACAAATATGTGAGTTTTCTGGCAAAATAGACCTACCATTACAGAATGGCCGGCATTCTCTGGCCACAGCAAGGAGAAAAGCAGAACAGAGCTTTGCAGATGCCAAGCCACAAATGTCTAAAGTTTCTATAGCCCTCCACCTGCAGAGGACTCTGAAAAATAGATCTGACTTCTATTAAGTGAAACCTCAACTTATAGCATTACTTCTAAATTTTTCACTTCCCCAATCGTTTAAAATCAGGCTTTCAAGGGAGATGAGCCATTTAAAGGGTTGGAGTATTTGCTATCCTAAGCCAGGGACTGCATTCAGGGCAAACTGTTTTTTTGTTAGCCTCCCAGCAAAGACCATTAAACTTGTGTCAGGTTTATTCTCTTATCCAGGCCCTGTCTGAAGGAGGGTTGTCTCTGACCTCTTCCCACTGCAGCTGCCCCTCCTGCCCTGTGCTGTTGTGCTGTGGATAGATAGCACAATTTGCCTCTTCCTTCATAAAAGTTCAGTGTTGGGAGCACCCATCTCCCTGCTTTCTACCCCATTATTCTGCTCTTCCTAGGGATTGTCCCATTTGGTCTTCTTGATCTGGCAGCCATCTCCTAGGAATTTAGACCCCAGAACCTCATCAGGGGTTCTTTTCTTTTCCAAATAAACCTGTCTCTGAAGGAACTACAGTTATTTTGAGTTATATGCCATTTTAAACAAACCTATAATGAACTTAGTCTTTTTGTATGGGCAGAAGCCATGGCCAAGTTAGCTTTTTATGGAGAGTCATCTTTTTAAAGACAGTGAAGTTAATGTAGGGTCAGGGTATTTGGGTTTTACAGACAGTTTTGTCACTAGCTAGCATATAATGTAGGTGAGTCACATATCTTTCTTGCCCTCATCTGTAAAACAGGAAATATACTATATAGGATTAGAAGAGACTCTGGTTATCATCTAGTCCTTCTTTTTTACATATGAGTACATTATAACATAATTTACAAAATCAAATACTGACTTGCAAATTACATTTTTATATTTCAAATAAATTTCTATAAATCAGTGATGTATAAAGAGTTTTTACTTTTCACTTGCTTTTACCATATTTTTATTAATTATAATGAGCTCATTTTGTAGCTTCCATACCACATATTCATACCTTCTAGACAAATTCATAATCCTTTATTATCGCCAAATATATTTTATTCAATCCATGTGGTACAGAGATCAACAATGATTATTTCTAGTAACTCTCAAGGATATTTCTAATAATCTACTAAATAGTAGAACCTGAAAATCAGTGTATTACTAAAGTTTAAAAGTTCTGAATTGTAAAGGTTATTTATCTTGCTCTTTTAAAAAAGAAGTTTTGTTTTATTTTTTCTAAAAATGGGGGGTAGGAGGCCATTAAACTAACTGTACCCTTTCTATCATTTTCTGGTAAGAAGAGAAAGCTCCTCTGAGCAAAATTAACAGTAAAGATATATAGCTGCATCCTTAATTTTTTAATCATGTAAGTGCATAGCAAAAGCGTTGTTCTTTCTTCCATCTTAGATCTGAGAAGCTCTCTTGGCCCACAGATTGGAGTAGGTTTGAGCGAGGTGATTCCCAAATGGATGGCACTGTCAAAACTATCAGTGGCTCAGTCCCAAAGTAGAAAATCTCTTAAACACAAGCTCCACTGGACAACTGCTCCTTAGAGCAAGGTGAAAGTGCCTGGAAGGATTGGGGATGCTTTGAAATTCAAGCTAAACTAAAGAATAAAAACATTTTAGAGTACTGGTTATAAAACATAGTATATACTTCTTCAGAAAGAAAAGTCCTATAACCGTGTTTGGCACCTGATAGCACCCCAGGCAGCTGATTTGTGTAGGGTATACACAATAAGGGCAGATACAGAGGCAAATGAATTAATAAATGCCAAAGTTATATGAAACTGAATCCAGGCATATATAAGACTAAGTAGAAGTTTCCTTGGGAAAGCCAAGATTTTATTTTTAACACTTAAAAATATCTAAACAAATTGCCACAAATTTGAATCCTCTGAAAGCAGATGCTGAGATGGAGTTCAGTGTGCAGGATGCTTATTACTTGCTAACATATATGGAAGGAAACCATCAAGCAGGAGTGGACAGAAGGCAAATGAGAACTGTGGTGCCAGTCCACAAAGTCTCACCAAGCCCAGGAGAGCTTTGAAGCATATTTTACTCATCAGGTTGCCCCAGTGTGAGTCACAATGACCAGGCCCTTCACATACCTGCCTTCGTCAGTCACGGGTATGGAAGGAGCATGCTCTAAGGGGAACTGAGGAAAATGTGGAGGTGCTAACAACTGGAAACTGTCAGAAGCTGAGTCACCAAGTTCTTTGAAGGAAGATTTGGGTGGAGCATCTTTATATTTACCATGGAAACTCAGATAAGGTTTTTTGGTTCTATTAATAGATATAGAAAAGGCATTTGATCGGTTTCAACATAAAATGATGTTAAAAGCTCTTGGAAAACCAGTAATAGAAGAGATCATTCTTACTCTGATTTAACGGTGAAAATTTAAAACATTTCCATTAAAATCAGGAAGAAAAGATTAAATGCCCTTTATCACTGCAGCTGTGCAAAAATAAACTAGCCAGTGCAATAAGAGTACTTTTATGTTTATTTTTATTTATTTGTTTGTTTATTTTGGTGCCAGAGATTTAACCCAGGGCGACTTAGCTCTTTTTTATGTTTTATTTTAAGACAAGGTCTCACTAAATTAATCAGGGCCTTGCCAATTTGCTTAGGCTGGCTTTGAACTTGCAGTCCTCCTGTCTCAGCCTTCCAAAGTGTTAGGATTACAGGTGTGTGTCACTGTGCCTGGCAAGAGTATTTTTAAGAGAAAATGGAAGTTTAATAAAAGAAAATTTCTTCTCATATATAGATAATATAATTACATTGAAAATCCAAGAAAATATAGAAAGATTTTGGATCTGTAAGTTCAGGATAATTACAGTTTTAAAAAAAGAAGAAAAAGTCAACAAATAAATGGCTTAATACTATATCTCAAAGCCCTAGAAAAAGAAGAACAAATGGACACCAAAAGCAGTAGAAGTCAGGAAATAATTAAAATTAGAGCTGAAATTAATGAAATCACAACAAAAGAAACAATTGAAAAATTGATAAAACAAAAAGTTGGTTCTTTGAAAAAATAAATAAAAATGACAGATCATTAGCTACGCTAACGAAAAGGAGACAGAAAACTCAAATTACTAATATGTGACTAAAAAGGTAATATCACAACAGACTCTACAGAAATATAGAAGATAACTAGAAATTATTTTGAAAACTTGTACTCCAATAAAATAGAAAATATCAAAGGCATCCACAAATTTCTTAAGTCATATGATTTGCCCAAATTGAATCAGACCAATATCAATCAATGAAATAAAAGATGACATCAGAAGCCTACCAACCAAGAAAAGCCCACAGCCGAATTCTACAAGACCTGCAAAGAAGAACTAATACCAATACTCTTCAATTTATTTCAGGAAGTAGAAAAAGAGGGAGCACTTCCAAACTCATTCTATGAGGACAATATCACTCTGATTCCAAAACCAGGCAAAAACACATCAAAGAAAGAAAACTTCAGACCAATATCTTTAATGAATACATATGTAAAA